CGGGGATTTCGGCCTCGGATGCATTCGTGGAGAAGTGGGTAGCGAAGCACCTGATCTTGACCAACCAAGTCGATAGATTTGAGTCGGTCACGGAGTACTTCCGGGCTAACCCAAGGCATGCTGCTCAGTGGGGTAGGCGTATGACGACTTCCGTTAGGAAGTTTGCTCGTCATGACACGTACTTGTCCTTCTATATTCCGATGGCATACGTGATTGGCTCCGCGGCTGGTCATCTGACCCCACTGTATCCGACCCATCGGAAGGACGTGGACATCCTGGAAAGTCATGCGTTGATATCGCAGCTCAGGCAGTACATGGTATCGGAGACAGGGTACGATGAGAAGAAGAGGTTGAAGGAGGCGATAGCCAAGGTGCAGAAGGCGATCAGTGCCGGACAGTCGGAGCCTCCCGCACCCTTCCGTGACCCGTTCGTTTACGTCAGTGACGAAAGGGTGAGGACGGTTCTTGATGGTCGTCAGCCCGAACCATTAGACGTGGACATCGAGGGACTTCAATCGGTGCATCATGCTGCGCCGGGTCCTGGTCCCAAGCAGGAGCCGGTCATCAAGGGCGGAAAAGGAAAAGGAAAGAAGGGGGAAAAGGGCGGTAAGGGCGGTAGTCCTTCCGGCCCACCACCGAAGTCAGGTGAAGTGCCAGGTAAAGGATCTGGTAAGGGCGGTAGCCCATCTGTCCCAAAGGCAAAAGCAAAGGATGATTCTGGACCAGCTCCGATGGAGGTTGATGCGGCAGCGGCTCAGCCGAAGAAGACTTGGGTCGCGATAGCGGTTGAAGGGGCCAGGCCGAGTGCGAAGGCTAAAATGACCCCGGCTCCAAAGGCCGAGCCAAAAGGGAAGGTCGCTTCTGTGTCTGAGGCGAAGAGTGCTCCGGCTCCGAAGGCTGAGGCCAAGGAGACGAAGCAGGCCGAACCGAGAGTTGAGGTCAAGAAGGAGAAGGTAGGCGGAGACGACGCTCCTGGCTGTAGTCGGGGGTCGGCTGAAGGACAGAGGAGAGAAAGGAAGTCCCGTTGGGATCCTGACGAGACTGTGAAAGAGTCAACGAAGCGAGAGGCATCGACGAGGCCTGATGACGTTGACAGCAGACCAGGTGCGGCAGCAAGAGAGGCTAGTGGAGATGATCTTCACTCCGCGCTTGGCAGATCTTCGGCAAAGGATGCGGTAGCGCCTTTGACGGCCTCCAAGGCGATGGCAAAGAAGCCTGAAGGCGGGGAGATCCGGCTGCAGTCTGCGGAGCGGGCTGCGGCGAGCCCGGTGGAAGGTCACTTCCTGGTGCTGCCTGAGGGTTCGGTGGTGGACGCTTTCTTGTCGATCTCCACCAACAGAGTGCTGAACAAGCAAGTCAGGGATTTCATCAGAAATGGTGAGGACGCGTCAGCACTGGAGGCTCTCAACCAGATCGTGACGAACTCTCGCTCTGGGAGGAGGCGTAGGGAATCGGATGTTTCCCGTACTCCTTCTCGGAGGTCCGTTAGGACCGTGGACACCAGGGATTCCAGAGAGTCGAGAAGGCGCAGATACCGTCCACGGCGCGAGGATGATCGAGACCGGAGGAGGGACGATGCTCGTGATCGTCGTGATGATGATTCACTCGATCGGGAGCGAGATCGAAGGCGAGATGATCGCAGGAGATCCGAGAGGGATCGTGATAGGGACCGTGCGCGGGGCGGACGTGACCGGAGGAGACGTGACGATAGCCGGTAGGCTGAGTCACGAGGATTGCGGCCGATAGGCTTGCGTCCATTCTCCAATGGTCGGCGCGGTGCGGAGGTGGTGATGTTCCTCCCGGACCGCTGAGGCGCGGAGGTCATGTCTCTCCCATACCGCTGCTGGGCTGCTGGACGTGTTCATCAGGAAGCAGTGTGAGTGAGAGGGAAAGCAAACTGATGGGGGGTTACTCCCGGGTTTGCGGAATTCAAGCATTTTTCAGGTACGCATGGTCAGGAGTACCTCTTGCCGTTAGGCGAGGGTACTAATGGACATACGTTATCTTTTATTTCATGGCTTCTGATAAGAATTAAACTTCTTGCATTGTTGATGCAAACAGTTGTGACCTAGTGTCGTCATGTGGACTCTTTCCACAAGGTTGTTGGACAGCGTTACCCCGATTAATTCGGGGTGGTGGCGGGAATTTAATGCCCGGGATGTCGCGCAACTGCCTTTGTGGGTTTGCTCCACCGCTGACGGCGGTAGTGTCCAGCTGTTTGCGGACACATGCGAGCAGTTAAATCCTATCAGTAAATGGCACGCTCCACCCGTCATATGACGGGCTCCTCGTGAGGGGGGTGTGATTAGCCATGGTTAATATCATCATCAGGGACGTCGCGTTAGTGACCGACCTGTGGTGTTTTGGCTCAAGTTTTGGGTTCCGTCGCGCCTCGAATGGGCGTCGCCGAACCCCTGCGTCGACCGACGGCATCTCGGGGGAGAAAGAGACCTCGGGCCGCCGCCAGGTTGGTAGGGACCAGTCGTGCGGCCTGTTGTCGACCAAGGTTGCGGGTTAACCCTTTTCTTGTTTGGTTTGTTTTCCTTTGGTTGTTGTTCTCTGGTGTGTGGGAAACCCTGATCTTTGGGACCGGGGATTGGTTTGCTTTTGGGGAACCTTTCTTTTGTGGCTTGTTTACCCCAACTTACCCATTGCCTGGGCACAGGCTCGTGCCCGAATCACATAACGTAAACATGTTCAGCATGGCACTTGCGGACTGAGTAATATTATGTGGTACCTGTGCTTTTTTGTGCAGAGGGCTGGAGATGTCTTAATTGTGCCATGTTGTGCATGTGTGCATGTGTGCATGTGTGCGTGTGTGCATGTGTGCATGTGTGCATGTGTGCAGGCGTTTTTGTTTTTTATTGTTGTTGTTGTTGTTGTTTTGTGTGTGTGTGTGTGTTTGTTTTTATGTTTGTTTTTGTGTCAGTGTATGTGTGAAGGTTGTTGTGGTCGTTGTTGTTTTGTTGCGATGGTCTGGGTTGTGTTACGTTGCGAGTGTGTTCTGTGTCGGTTGCTGTGTGTTGTGCGTTGTGTGCTGTGTGTTGTGTGCTGTGCGTTGTGGGTTGTGTGTTGTGTGGCGCTTGTACCGTGTTTGGTGGTGTAGTGTTTCTGTCATTCAGTTTGGCTTTCTGGTTTTGCATTGCTTGGCGTGTTATACTTCTTGGGTTGATTGTGTGATCGTGTGATGTCCGATTGTTTTGTTGCATGGTCATGTGTTATGTTACATGTTTGTGTGACTTCATGTTTGACGATTTGTCCGATTGCTTGCTTGCATAAGGAATATATTTATTGTTTAAGAGTGCCAATCTCAAACATTGGACATCCTTGCAAGGACGGTTGAAACTTAAAGGACATCAAGCACAAAGAGAGGTCTCTTCTGTTGAGACACACCGTAGTATGTATTCTGCTAGAAATACCTGCAAGTTCCCAGGATGGAAGCCGAACTTTCACCATTGGCATAGCCCTGAGCGCAGCTTGTGGTATCGCACGGAATCAATGTACTTCTTTGGCTTCCCGCAGGGGAACGATGTGGTGGGCTGTCGCTGCTGTCGAGTTCTGTGGATGTTCCTTGCATCATTTGGTTTTATTAAAAAAACAAAAACAAAAAAGCATTGGGTTGTGTTTGGGTTATGAAACCCCAATGCAGGTTTCTCTAAGCACCCAATGCATCCAGCAAATGGATCGCTCGCTTCCGGGCGAAGCGCGAAGCGCGAAACGCATCCTTCAGGCAGGCGGCGGCGCCAGCACGGGCGGCCGCCATGCGCTGGAAGAGGCAGGGCCAGCAGCGGCAGCGGAGTGGTTCGAAGGTGTCGTGCAAAGTGTTTTCCTGACGAAAATGTTTAGTGGCAGAGTGTTTCCCCAAAACCTTTGAGCGGATTGATTTTCGGTGTTCTCTCTTGGCTTCTTGAAGGGCTCAAAGAGCCGTTTCATGTCTTGTTTTCTCTTCGAAACCTGTCTGTTTTGGTGTTGTTTGAGTTCCTGTTGCATTTCTGCCCTAAGCGCCGTTGGCATTGTTGCGAGGCCCCAGTGGTTTCATGGTCCGAAGCTGAGAAACCTCCAATCCTTGGCTCCCAGCCATGTTCCTCAGCTTTTTAGGTTTTAGGGTTTTGGTTGGTTTAGTGGTAGTTTCCAGTTGATAGACGTTTGGTTGGTTTAGTGGTAGTTTGCGAATCTAATCGGTTTTTGGTAGGTTTAGCGGTATAGCGGTAGTTTCCGAATTTGACCCAAAGGTTAAACTTTGAGGGGATCTGAGGGCAGCCCACTGTTGCATGGCTTGCCCGAAATTCAGTTTTCTTACCGTGAAAACAAGTCCGTACCGCAGAAGTTCCGGATGGCTGGAATATGGAAGATTGACCATCGACAGGTTGATGTAGGGCGTTTCAATTACGTGGCCATGGGTCATAACCTATGCCTCCATGAACAGCCATGTACCACCTATTTTGATGTTCATCACGGGTACAGGGTTTTGACCCACAGCCGCGTCCCAAAATCGAAACGAACTGACTACTGCATCGAGGAAGTATGTGTGATACTTGCGATGGTATTTGCTTGTATTTGGTTGCCACTGCTTGCGATTGTATGTTTGCCTAATACCGGCGCACACGTGGCTGGGGAACAGTGACTACTTTTCATAGAGTCATCATAGTCATCACCTTTTGATGACTCGCCGCCAACCATTTCCGTGATGTTGCTCCAACAATCGCAAGTGTTACGGCGTTTCCTTGCTGGACTGGGACATTAGTTTGTCTTGAGCCACGTACTTTCCCAAACGAATTAACATATGATCACCTGTTTCCCAGTTTTGGTAGGTGTTTGGCAGTGTCCGCAAGAAGAACATCCATGATTTTTGTGAACCTTTGGACAGACAATGTATTGTTATATATAGATATGCACGTGTTATCTATATAAACGACATTACACATCAACGTTTGCAAAATTGCGCTAAACGTTATCAACACTCCCACCACCCAGCGCAGCATTGCCGCTCACCGGATGTGATGCAAGTACCCCAAAGTCCGGCAAACTCGCGTCATCAAATACCCAATTGTTCAGTCGCAACATTTTGCTCCTTGGACCACCATTATATAGCGATTAAGCTGGTCGAGTTTGACTGGTCGCTGGTCTTTCAAGCGTTTTCAAGCAGACTTGTCTCGAAATGAGGACCATACGTACACTTCCTTTCGATTTCCGTTTGAAGCAACCTCAAAAGTGGTAACCTCAAAGCACAAGAAGGGCATAGGTCCGCGACCGTTTGCGATCAGCCGTTGCGTTCGAGTTCATGTTTTTGTTGTTGTTTTTTTCTCTGAGAGGCTTGGTGCATTAGCTCCACGCTGTTCCAGTCCCTGGCCTTGGTGGAGCCTCTGAAAAGAGGCGCTTTGGGCCAAAGGGGGGGGGGTGTTTGATTTCACCGTTCTTGTTTTTCACTTTGCGAAGGGGGGGGCGGCCGGGGGGAGCCTGGCCGGGCCGGGTGGGGCCGCCGCAGGGAGCTGCGGAAACCCGCCAGAACCCTTAGCAGGGCGGCTGAAGCCCTTCGCCCTGCTCTTCGAAGTGCGTATGTCCACTGGCGGTTTGGGGAAAAGTTCCCTTTTTTTTTGGTGCCAGGTGGGGGGGGAGGGGGGGGGGTAGCCTTTTTTTTTGGGGGGGGGCAGGGGGATGTGGTGGTATTTGCGAGAGCGTTGAGGTTTCTGTCGTGTTGTTGCCTCCACGCTGGCCTTCTGAAGGACCGTTTCGGAGAAAGGCAAAAGAAAGCTGTAGCTAGTGGATCCCAGGCAGCTCGTATAGTAACAGGATATGTCTTGGGAAAAATTTTTACACGGCCCTTGGTCACCAAAACCAAGGCTCCACTATGGCATCCGCTGCCTTCGGATCAACCACTTCCAGCCCCTCTGCTATGCGAACGTGTTTTCGGCGTTATGAATATGGGAGTGTCTTTCTTTATTAACCCCCCCCCCCCCCAAAAAAAACAAACAAACACAAAAACTAAACAAACAAACAGAAACAAAGGAAACACAATCAACAACAAGTGGCTTCAAGCCACCCAAAATAGGGTACTGCGCCTCAAAAGCAGACCACCCCTCCCCCCCCCCGCCCCACCCGCCCGCCCCACCCCGAGTTGGCTCCAAGTTGGTTTCGACAAACCGACTCCGCGGATCCGCGGTTTCGTGTCAGGTGGGCTCCCGGGCTATCGCCAGCACATCCCGGCCACTGGGCAACTCTCGCTTGCTTCGAATTCGGGTCCCGGACGTGGGAATGGCGTGCCGAAATGGGATGCGTTGGTCCAAGATGGGTCTGCTTTTCGTTCCCGCTTAAAAGAAAACAACACTTTTTGTTGGTGGTTTTGCAGGGAAGCGAAAAGGAGAACCACTTCTTCTTCTTCTTCTTCTTCTTTGTTTTTTTTTGTGGGGGTCCCCAAAAAGAAGGCACCCCCATCATTGTTTAAAAGGCCGTTGAAGAATCTGCACTGGCTGGCATTTGGCGGTGCCGCATTGACCGCGAACCTTGAAATCAGGTTGAAGGCAGGTTGCTGGGGTGGAAACTATTTTAGTATCAGAACTGTGGCGGCAGCGTTTTCTTAAGACCCACTGATGGTGCACTATGACAAGGCACAACTTACAAGACCGGCTGCCCCAAAGCTTCATTTGACTGCTCAAGTACCCTCGAAGCTGTTGACATGTGGGGGTCGATCTATATTCCTGGCCCCAACATGACCTTGGAAACTTTCCCGATTGAGTGGTGAAAGTCTTTGTTTTGGTGGTTTCCCTAGTCAATAGTCACTCCATGCATCACGGACCTTTGGATCAACCCCTACGTGCCACGGGTTTCGGACACGAATGGCAGGTGCATCGTGTCACCCCATGTGCAGATCTTCCGCGAGTGCACAGGTAGCGACCTCAGTCTGCGACATCACCTTCTTCGTTTAGAAATCGTAACTTTCATAGCACCTCAACAGGAGGTCACCCCCCCCAGGCCCAAACAGATGTTGAGGTTTCATATTAAGCAGGCTGACGCCTGATGCCGCCGACCCCCAATGTGCTTTTATTGTTGATGTTGTGTTAAATGTTGTTTTAAGAATTCGAGGTACGAGGTAAACATTATGATGATGATGATTATGATTTATTAATTGGCCAGATTCGCAAAAACAGAAGAAAGAAGAAGACAGAAGTAACTCTAAGGTGCAATAAAAGATGGACTGGATCTCCTCGAAATCTTGGATCAAAGAAAAGAGTACCCGAATGAAGATCACCCAAAACTAAAACAAGTGTCCAGATAAGATAGGCAACGAAAGAATCATCATCATCATCAGTGTCATCATCATCCTCATCAGCATCATCCTCACCATGCATCATCACCATCAGCATCATCATTCATCGGCATCAACATCATCATCATCATCACCATCATCATCATCATCATCATCCATCATCATCATCCATCATCATCATCATCATCATCATCGGCATCATCCCCATCATCATCATCATCATCATGACCATCATC